TATACATTGTAAGAGTAATAGGGGAAATGGATACCACATAAAATACAGACAGGTACCTGGCTACTTGTGAAAGGAAGCCATTTCAAAATTCAATGAGAAGAAGACTGAAATGGAAAATTAGCGACATGAACAATGCATTGAATTTTGTCTGTCACATAATATTTCATAGCAATCAGAATTACATTTACACTGGTGATTAAAAAATTGCTGTTGTCCATACGTCAAGGTTGTCAGCGTGGAATAAGAGAGTATAACTTCCTCTTACCAGAACTATCAAATCCATGTTTCTTTTGCTGTAAATTCTCAACAAGTACTTTCCAAAACTGTCTTACTGTTACTAAAGGAGAGCAAACCTAGCTTTTTGGACTGTAATCTTTCAGTTCAGATGCTAACAATCATTAGCCAGATTTAGTTCCACAAAATGAGTAGGCACTAGGCAGTTATTCTGCAGTTCCGTTCAGTGGTGCTAACGACTTGCACACTGTCAATCAAGTCAGTGCCAGTAGGAAAAGTGGTTTGGTCCTTAAGTACGATTTGATATTGGTTGGGTCAAACTACCTTGTTACAGAGAGAGGAAGAGAAAAGAAAGGAGCAAATTGAGGACTGGGAGAGGCACAAACGAGGGCAGGGCTACCGGTCCAAGAAACTAAACAAGGAAGATGACCACCCAGCAGGAGCGAGTTCCACTTCGGGGGACCAAGCGAAACCCAAAAAGGCACCACTTAGGCAAGGTGAGTGCACCCTTGGGATTTGGACTAACATCCACAAATTTACAGTTCCACATTCACAAATCTACTGTTCCACATCCACAGATCTACTGTTCCACATCCGCAAATCTACTCTTCCACATCCACAAATCTACTCTTCCACATCCACAAACCTACTCTTCCACGTCCCCAAATCTACTATTCCACGTCCACAAATCTACTCTTCCANCATCCACAAATCTACTCTTCCACATCCACAAATCTACTGTTACGCTGCATTTTTTTGTTTCCATTTTTTTGATCTGCAAGGGGTCTTGTTTCAGGGCCTCTTTCACTGCACTGCAAAACACAGGAAACTTGCTAAAGCCCAGACAATCTTTGCTCAGCAGAAATCGATTACCAGCCAAAAATTAATGCATTGCGTGTTGCTTTTAACTGATACTCGCCCGACTGCCTTGCTTTATGTACATGTATGTGCAACTCCATGATTGTGCACATGCACATCCTATTGGGGAGTTCTCTAATGGGCATTTCTTCATACATACATACACTTGGGTTTGCTGAGTACTGTTTACCATTAAACGGCATGTAACTGGATCTTTCTGTATTGCATTTGTTACATTTTCAAACTGGGGAATAAAAAAACCCAGTGAGGGTCACGGTCGGGTTCGAAGTAGAGTTCATTACAACTTGTCTGAAAGTCCATCTCAAATTCTCAAATCTCTCCATCTCAAATCCATCTCAAGCTTTCTGGTCTCTTATCGCGAGCTATTCAAATAAGCTGTGACAAAAAAGTGCTTCTTTGTTGTTCATTCTGTTGCCTGTGATTGGACCTGTGACTGAAATGGTGACCGTGATCCCAGCTGGCAAATGCTACACAGCCACAATGTTCAGCTGAATGCATATTTCTGGAGCCAGTTCCTTTTTGGTGCAGTGCTGAATACATGTAGGCCTACATGTTTCTTCTTGCCAGTCCCTTCTTGCAGCCTTCCGTTTTTTATTTATTAAATGTATACAGGTGCAACCTATTTTGAATTTAAGTCTTTTCGGGTCCGTTTGATGTTCTCGTTTTTGTGTGAACTGTACTTGTTCTGTGTACACTGACAGGAGTCTGGCCCTCTGGCTGCAATGGTCTTTTGGCAGTAAACCATTCATAATAGCAATACAGTAATTACAGGCAAAGTTACTTATCGACTGGGGGAAATCAAGTGGAAGGAATTTTCAACCGTATGTGACTGTCACAGCAACGAACGCACAAAAACTGCCTACCCAAATTTGTTTTTGTCCATCGTCAGGGCAGGTGGCTACAACCCTCGACTTATCTCGTTGCACCCCCCACCCCAGGCCTCCACTCAATGTTGGGTCTCAGTGAGTCTGCGCCGCAGCTCAAGATGACAACATTGACCGGGGGGGGGGGAACCTGGAAAGGGGGTGGCTATTGACACGTGTCCCAACAATTTTGTCCAGGATTATAGATGAGATACTGAGATGGATTAAGAAAAAGGATCCTGTCAAAATGCCATGGGAGTGAGTAAGGGAATAACCGTGAATCAACCCAGGCTAGTTTGGAAAGTTGTGAAAGTCACCCGGCGAGGGACTTTTCTTTCTTGCAATTCACAGGTTACAACCCTCTCATGGGAGACACAGGCTCTGCCTTCAGGCCCGCACGGAGCTCCAGGAGTGGTGGCGGGTGAGGTTAAAGGTCGTATGCAGAAAAGGTAGATCCTGTGACCAGTGGGCCAATCCTGATTGTGGCAGATTGATGCCTGGTGTTAATTTCCATATATTGAGGTACATTTTGAGTCAAACAAGTTTTCCAGTAATATAGGCGAGTTAACACATTCTGTGCAGAATGATTAGAAGTTTCAGATTTTCTAGGTTAAGAATTTTTGCCTTGAAAATTCTGACCGACTTTTATACTCCCCAGCTTGATTTTCTTCTTCTTATTTAAGATTGACTTTGAGTCCAGACCTAACTTCATAAATATGGAAAATTTTATGTTTGACCTACATGTACAGGTATAAATATTTCAGCCAATCAGGATAGCTGTGGTCACATGACACTCCTCTGCATACGTGCAACCTTTGTCATGAGGAATTTCTTGACTGCTCTCACAAACTGCCATGTGAATGCCTTTGCCTAAAGCAGATGCTTACGTCCATGTCAGTGGCTTCTCGCCGTAGCACACAAATGGCCAAAAAACATAGACATAGCCACAAAATACCCAACAAGGCCACTGTGCAGGGCCCAGTCTCACGGAGATGCCAAGCACAAAAATCGGCTAAGCAAAGAAAACACGGGGCTCCCTGCCATCGTGGAGATCTGGAGAATGGGTTGCTCTTTTTCAAGGCAGGGAAAAGGCAGGGAAAAGTCAAGGACTTGATTGGCCCAAAAGAGAAAGTGGTCATTTTGTGGTCTTTTGTTCTTCTTCAACAACACTGGAGATATGTTTGAAAACTCACAAGGCTAAAATTCAGGGAAGTCGGTTTTCATGAAATGCTGAGAACCCTGAACCAGGTTACCAGCCAAAATGCTGCATGGTGCATCCTGGCTTTTGACTGGTTTCCCTGTTGTTTCTTGCTCAGCATGTACATTGTACAATTGATATGAAGGCTTGAGAAATATTCTCTGATTGGCACCTCTCTGGCATCGGGCCCTAGCTCTGAGGTCAAGTACGATTTGCTTGGCTGCGGTTTGTAATTACGCACCAGTCAATGATAACGTCTTAAGCCACTGTCCTTAGAGTCGTGTGCAATTAAGATGTAGCCAAGTAATTTGGACACAGTCGTAGTTTATGGAGGTGTCCAGCAAAGAGCACTTCTGCAGATTGAAATACATGCAGGCCACATTTTGACGAGCAAGCCGACTTTGCTCAAATTTTTTTCCGTGATTAGCAGCCCCCGTGAGTTTGGGCCCAGGCTTAAACCCGCTATCTGCAAAATCAATGACAAGGTTAGAGAACACAAAAATCATAGTNCTCCAACAAACCCCTGGTATCCGTAGGTATCACGTGGACGTTGTATCTACTTTTTGCAATGAACCAGCTTGGTATTCAAACAGGGCATGCTTAAAGGGAGCGTGTTATTTGTGAACAGCTATACGCCAACTGGCACACACACACTAGCTTCGTTCTGGAATAACCGTGTCTTCTTGAAACACCAAACTGGCTCATTGATTAAGACACAGGTGTTTTTTCAACTTGTCCAAGTCTAGAATATTTTTCCTCCCTGACCATTGGCACCGCGGCCTTTTGTGAGAATAGTATCAAGAAATTCCTCGCAGTGGTGGATGGCAGTGGGAACGTGTCCTCTCTGGTTGGACGGGTCGGCATTCTGGTTAGGGGATTGCTGGCGGGATTGGGAGAGCCTGTGGCAGAAGAAACTGTCGATCCAAAATGGCTGCCTAGCAACCAGTTGCGTTCCCTCCATCTTCTTGACGTCTGTCGCACAAATGGCAGAAATGCCACAGCAACAGACCGATGCAACACCACTGTAGTAAAAAGCAGTTGAAAAATCTGCGACTAAATATGTCTAAAATACAAGTAAAATGAAACACATGTAAATACTCAGATAACTACATTTTTTCATTGTGTAAATTTTATTCCAAGTGCAAATACAAATAAAAACGAGATGGCAGTAATAGTCTGGTTTATGTAAGACTAATGTTGCAGGTTAAGACCAAAAGCAACCATTAAAAACTGGAAGTAGTGTTGTATTCGAGTTCATCTCAAGTCCCTGCAAGTCCATCATAAGTCCATGACAAGTCATTCAGTCTTATGTCAAGTCACAAGCTATTCAAATGAACTGTGACAAAAGCAATCATGTGTCATGGTTCAACCTTTTCATGCTGTTTCTTGTGACTGGACTTGAGACTGGACTCGACTCCAACACTGACTGGAACAATCGGATTTCAGATTGAAATTGAAGAAAAAATCCACAGGCAACATTTTGAAGGAGGGCCTTTTTAGTGGCTTAATTCTTTTCAGGTGTAAAGAACAGTTTTACAGAATATTTGAGTGCAACAGTGGAGGTTACCCTTACTGAGGTGCGATATTCTATACAAAGTGACAGACTGATCAAAGGGTGACAATGTTGTCTTGAAGTCAAGTGTCCACAAATGGAGATACATGTTTAAGACAGGGTGTTTAGTTTCTGGTGTGAGCTGAGCTTTTAGCATGAAATATTTGTGTTGACTGTGGTGGTAAACCATTGCCAACCTTGGACACATTTCACGACCCAGACATGCTAATTCGACCATTACCGTGACTTAAATTGTAGAATGGTGGCACGGGATCAGGAAGTACAGTATAGGAGAAGGCAAGATGGTAGACGCACTGGGGCTAATAATGGGCCAACCATGATTTGCACAAAGTATAAATTGTCAGTGCTTGCAACCTCCACGCTGTGTGGAGAAATCCATTTCATCATTGATAGTAGAAATCTGCAATCTTTATATCTCCGAGTTTGTTTTTGTTTCTTTGTTTGTATCCGCTCACCCCCCACGGAAACAACATGCGAATAAAACACTTGCGTTATTATTACTCTGTTAACTCACGAGTTCATTCGGGATTTGACAAAGTGAGCTACACCTTGTGAGACAATCTGCATTGTCAGTTTTGCCCTCTTGTGGAGTTTAAGAAACTGGTCACTTGTCTTCAATGTGCATCATACAATGGTAAGAGTTGACAACGTTGTAGCCAACATGTACCAGGGTGCTACTGTTAGTGATCCAGACCACTCTCTCCGTCTGCCAAGAGCAAGACCATAGAGAGGAACAAAGACATCTATATTAAACAACAACCCCAGCCTACATGGATGTGCACCCGAACTTCACGTTAATACACGTTTAGAACGTCACCTGTTCTAGACAGGGAATATTACCCGGCAAATTTCATATGTAAAGTTGGTTACAAATTGGGGGGAACCAGTCACAGGTAATATCTTTCAAATGGCATTTCGCCTGACAGATACATGTATCTGGTGGACTTAAAAAATTGTCTGCTCAGCAGTCTCACGACACTGGCTTATGTGTGCTCATAATTTTTCAATCAAATTCTAACAAAACTTACAGATCTCACAAATCAAATTTAAATCCAATGGCTGAATAAAACCAATTGAAAACAAACAGAAAAGCCACTCAGCAGTTTATATTCAATCATGTTCAAGCCTAAACTATGTCACTAAACAAAAAGGCAACAACACTACACACATTATGAGGCTTTGAATTTAAACTGTCCGACTTAATCCCTGAAGCGTGTACAGAGCTTATATACATATTTCACATGAATTTTTTTTTCAGTGCCCCTTTTTTTCTGCAAAAGTCTCCACTTACCAAATGTGTTTTGTGAAAAAGCCAGGCGGAACACCACAGCAGTGAAACTGCTTACGTGCATGAAAACATCACATGAAGCTCTTAGCAACATAAATTGATTTGAAAATCACCTACCAATTTCTTGCATGTATAAAATAAGCATCAATTTCTTGCATGTATAAAATAAGCATCCATACTTAGCAGAAGGGGTTGAGCGACAAATGCCTTCTGCCTGATGACAAAACAAGGTCAAGAATAGTTATTTCTCTGACGTTTCTCTGGTTGAAGCGGCTCCCGTTTTGCAGCTCCGCCAAGAAAAAGGAAAAAGAAACGTCAAGAAATACCCAAAATGATACTTCAGAATTGCAGTCTGGTGTCCTTATCACTTGCATGCCTCCCTCATTTACAATATGCAAAAGAACACTGGGAATTTGTACTAAGATATAAGGTAGATGGTGCCTTATTCTCTTAAAAGCAACTAGACCACAGGAAACTAATCACTGCGGGCAATATTCTACAACTTGTCTGTGACAAAATGCATGTAAATATATGTAGTGTGATGACTTTCCTGCATTGCCGTACATATATGCAGAGGAAAGACTGATGTTAGATGGCCTTTTTGTCTTAGATTTTCAAGAATAAGAAATGGCGCACCGTGGTATTGTTTATTTCACATGGATCTGGATCATTGTCAGTGAGCTTAGAGCTGGGTTTGCGCTATCCATTAGGCTCGTTCTGGTGTCAGTGAACCAACGACTGATCATGATCTGGATCCATGTGAAACAAACAGGCCCTTGAAGAGTTTCAATTTGCACATCTTTTCCAAATTGCCACAGTGGTGGAAGGTCTAGCTAAATTCGGCAAGTCTCCAACCAATGCTACTGCTTCAGACACAGCTCCAATAATCCGCGTCCGTTTGGACTCAAAATGGCTTCGCATAAAAATGAACCATGCACCCCCACATGCAGTGAAATGACAGCAGCTGCATGCGTCACTGCCTCAGGCATCCATGTTGTATCAAAAAAATGAGACCATGCAGTACTTTTTTGTGACCCATTTGAGGAATTATTCACATGTACATGGAAGATCTCTCAAGGGTGGTATTAATTACACAAAAAATGGCTTATCTCTACAATCAAACAAAGACTTGACAAGCAACAGGACCCAAATCCATGGTGCTACTGAGCGCACGATTCTAGTTCTACGCTTACAGAAGCTCCGTGAAATTCAAAGAGACCGCAAGCATTGAGCACAGCAAAAGGTACGCTCTCGGGAACTATTTGCTTAAACTTAGAGATGTAACATTTCACGCATTAACCATTAGCACAACTACGTCAATTGCTGCCACGAAATAGTACTTACAGTTGGCAAAAGTTTACGGTACGGTAAACATAACTTCTGCTCACTGTTAAGCAACGCCATGAAATTGGGGCCCAGACTTGGGCAGTATGAAAGAAAAAAAATCATACAAAATATGCAGGATTGTGAGAAACTTTTTTTTTTTTTGAAATTTTTGTTTTTACAATATTATTTACAAATTTGAATTGTTCAGGTCCCCCCAGAAAACCCTGATTGGTCAATTGATGTTGTAAATCTATTCAAACACTTTAATGTCACCGCTTCGCTAATTTTTCTTCTGGAGGAAACAGGGCAACGATGCAGCTTCTACAGTTTGGAATCTTACTTATTGAGGCCTACTTTCTCTTTTTCGGTGGCAGTTCCTCACCCATTTGCCTCTTCTTTTCTTTCTTGGAGGAGGTACTCCTGGAAGCATTCTCAACTGTCTCTGTAGCCTCATCTCTTGCATCGCCATCTTCTGGCTCTTTCTCTGAATCTGCCGCCTCTAGAGTTTCCTCATTCGCATCTACCTTCTCATCGGAGGCCACCTCATTTTGTGGGCACTGCTCCGTCATCTCTCCTGGTCTCGTCTTGTCCTCACCGATGGAAAACGACGACGCGCTGCTGGTGGGACTGCTCGGAGGAGGATCTCTCGGGGGGATGGTTTCATCTGCCTTGCGCTTGGTGAGGTCCATGGGCTCTGCTTGGCTAGGCGACGGTTGAGACTCTCTGCTGTTGTCCAGGGACAGCAAAGGATGTTGTAACTCTGACTGCCCGTTAACGCTGCCGGAACCTCCATTGGGTTGCTTGGGCTCCGTCTTAGGTTTCTTATCCGGGATATCTGACCCCGTGGAAATGGACTCTGAGCCTTTTCCTCTCACCTCGCGCTCAGTTCGCTCGATTATCCGTCGTTTGAGAGATTTGGGCGCGACGATGACAGATGCCCGACAGGTTGCTGAGGTTGCATCATCGGAGCTGTCTTTGATGCTTGGTGAGCTGCTGGACGGTGTCCCAGTGATGGGAACCATCAGCGGTACAGTCTGTCCATCCGTGACGCTCTCAGCCTTGGCAGCACTGGATCGGCGGGAGCTCCTCTCCCGCCTCCCACCCCTCTGGGATCTCTCCGCTGGCTTCTTGTCACCAGGTCTCACCTGGGGTGCTACCGTGGGGGAAGGGGCACAGTGGTTGATGCTCTGCGGGGAAGGGGACTGTTTAGTGAGCAGAACCCCGTTAGTGAGGTGAGTCGATTGGTGGGGGCTTGGGGAAGAGTAGCGTGGGCTTCCACCGGAACCCAGGGAAGGGCTAGATGGAGCAATGCCTCGAAGGATGTTGGACATCTGTAACACAAAATTGACCAAGACGGTGAATCCACATGTTTTGCCAACTTTGCTGCAACTGCACTTGCGCACATTTGTCTTTCTTGAAGCAGTCTTCAACCCAATTTATCTACATATAGTTCCCTTGATTATCGCATTTGAATTCACTTGCTGTCCACCTGCTATTGGTTAAATGCATTTTACTGCTTTTATGCTTGTGAATTACTGTATGGAAGTTGAGAATCAATATTTTTTATTTTTCCTAGTTGTGTAAAGCTTTTATGTAACATCAACCCTTGAACGTCACAGGTAAAAGCATCATCACAGGAAAGAAGACAAGAAAAGAATTTACTGGCAGATCTGGGGATCTACCGTGGGCCGTGGTCTCTCAAAGAGCAAGAGCATTTGGGGTGTAAAATCAGACAATGGCAACGTTGGGGGCACTGTTTTGCTTTCCTTCCTCCCAAAAGTGTGTAAAAGCCCCCCCCAACCCAGCCTCACCCCTCAGAAAAGCCATATACGTGTACATGTAGAACTGTACAAGATTATTTGGTTCTGGATCTGCCCTTGAGAAAAGCCACTCGCTGGTGACAAGTGCATAACCCTACAAGGTGGTGGAAGTGCGGTGGGAGTGATGTCAACTTACACTGCCGTCGGTCGCCACCATCCCCGGCGTGTCCTTGTGTGTGTTCCTGAGGCTCATGTCGGCACCGTAGCGCATGAGGAGGCGGACGATGTCGGAGAAGCCCCGGCCCGTGGCCACATGGAGGGCCGTGTTGCCCGAGTATGACTGCATGTTGACCTGTGCGTTGCCACCTAGCAGGATCTGCACGTGCTCGGCGTCCTGCCTTGTCACGGCGTGGAAGAGTGGCGTCCAACCGCTCTTGGCATCCTGCAGTGGATAGATCGAAAAAAGGTGGTGGAAGTGGGCGAGAAGGGAAAAATGAAGTGACTCGAAAAATGGTAGCCACACGACATTAGGTTGGGGGTAAGACATTATCCAGTGGAGGAAAAGGGCAAGTCTTCCATGGGTATATTAGGAAAAGCGAACAGAGACAGCTGAGCCCATGTGCTCAACTTTATCAACCAATTCAGTTAATTACATAACTCCTCTTCCAAATGTCTTTCTAGTTCTACAGCTTCCATAATTTAATCTAAAAAGGCTACAAAGACTGAAGGGAGAATGCAGCTGAGGAAAACAACAGATATGCGCAAACGTTTTGTGAACAGATTGGGAAAAAAGAACAGCCGTATCTCAAAAAGGTACATGAATACGGGCGTTACACAATAGAGCGCCTCTAAGAGTTTGCAACGCGTTGGCCAATCTGTCCACCCAATGTGCGCTTAGAAGTGGCTGAAAATTTTTGCGCGTTGTGATTGGCCAACGCGTTGCAAACTCTTGGAGGCGCGCTATAGTGAATCGCCGGTATTGATATGTAGGCTGGCGGTGAAACCCTGAAATCATTCTCTTGGCAGAGGTGTGGCTCTGAGAAGAACCGGTGAGTGTTAACTCGACGTTTCGGCCAGGATGCTCTAGGCTATCCTCAGGAATTGTTAGAACATGTACATGGCATGATACTTCAGAGGAAATGTGGTAGACCACAGTGTCAAGCACCTGATAAATATTTTGATTGCAGCTCTATAATTCATACGATTCTTTGGTGTGCAAAAACAATTTAAAATCCTTTGAAATGTACTGGAAAGTGCACTTTTGTAAACATTCTCCACGCTTTGCTTTTCTGAACAACAGTGGGCACTGTTCATGTGATGTCAAGCAAGCAAGCCAAAGCTCACTTTATAGGTTATTCTGTTTGACTCAAACGTTCGCTCACTGAAAGCATTTGGGAGAACTTCATTGGCTTAGTGCCATGCCTTCGAACAACCATGAATCACCAAAGAAATGGACATTAAGAATAGTAAGATAACAGCTGTTTTGTGCACAAATCAATGCAATATTACGGTTTTCTTGCAAGAGTGACATCATAGCTGTTCTCATGAATATGCTCATAGAAATTTGCATGAAAACAAAACAACAACAAGGCACCAAATAACTTTGAAAAACAAAACAAATATTAGAAATCTGGTCTGGAAACATAAAGGTGAATTTTCGTGGACTTCACATGTACAAAAAAATGCGCTGAACTGACCCTTTAATTAGCACCAGTAAAACAACAAATTGACATCTGAAAATCAACTTTTGTTTTCAGACAGGAATTTCAGAAACCTCAAACACTAGGAGCGATAGAAAGAAAAAGGAAACAAACCAACAGTGAGCGCGACTTCCACGTAAATGATCACTTGAACAGATGTTGGTAAACATGTACCAGGCAGTGCAGTGGGGAACAGTCTCAAAAGCCAGGATGTGCTACATGTATTTCTATTAAATGCTGGAAAAGACGAATGTGTTTTGGGCAAAGAATGTCCAGAAACCGTAAAGAAACATGATTCTATTGGCAAACCCTGACAAACGTTTGAAAAGACTTTGCACCATAGCTGTTTAGAGATTGGATCGCCCTTAGCCAATCAGGTGTCCGAAAGAGATTCGTAAATGGCAGAGTGCAATCCCAGTGGCACTTGGATTGAAATTCAACTCTCTTGGGTTTGTTGTTCCTCGATGTGATAAGTTTACTAACTAAATTGACGATTATTTTCTAGTATAAGGTCACGTATGCGGGTGAGTGATTGGTTGAAAAATTCCCAAATGCTTACCGGGCAGTTGACGTTTGCTCCGTGGTCAATCAACAACTTAGTCAGCCCATACTGGCCGTTGATAACCGATATGTGCATAGGGGTAAATCCTGAATGAAAAATATACAAAAGTGACAGGAAAACGTACAGTTCACTTCAAAATAACTAACTTCAGATTCAGATCTAAACGTCAACTACACGAGTTCCAACTACAATCCGCGCGAAAATCCACCGATCGTTACACTACAGCCGGTATATTTGAAGACTAGAGCTGTAAATGACACGTGCATCAATGGAAGCTGTACTCAGCGGCTGCAGCCACTTTCCATAGACGTGTACGTTACTGCCTATAGATAAAGGTTTTGCGTGGTAGCCATCTTGTTGGGCAGTTCTTTTGTTCGACAGAGAGGCCTCTTTTGTGTATACCGTGTGGAACAACAGCACTGGCCTGTAAGATGGCAGCCATGCAAACCCTCCAGAGAAGCCAGTTGACTGGAACACGGACTATTTTAATGAAAACCTTTGTGCCGATATACGATACATGAATGTTACATAGGATTCCTTCATGCCAAAAAAGCTTTTATCGAAAGAGAGAAAATGTTTCCTTCGATAGTTTCACTCAGCGGTTCTAAACAATAATTCATTTCATGGTGATATCTACATTGTATATACTCATGGTTGGCTCACAGGAAAAACGTTGGGCGCTGGGAATAACCCCCTCAATTTACGGATTAGACACTTGTCAACAAATGCACCATAAATAGCTTATCTGACAAAACAAATGGACAGCTTTGGTTTCGTTTGCTTAAAAATAGTTTGCAAGGAAAACCCCCTTTCATTTCACTTTTCAGCAAATGAATAAAAATACAAACAACCCTACTCTCTCTGCTACATAATAACTGCGAGGTAAGTCCCGCACGGCACCTTGCAAATTCACTTTCCAATTTCCAAACTGGAACCCATGCAAGTAGGGGATTTTGGGGTAAGAGGTTTCGCAGATGCTTTAGTTCTGGAATGTCCCGAAAATCCAACCCGGTCAGAGAGCACACATTACAAAAAAAGTCCCATGTCTGTTCTTCCTTATTCGTTGTGCAGTTCCGCACGAGCTACCTCTCCTCAAGAGAAGAAAAAAACACACACACACGCACGCACAAACGAAACAAAGGGTTTTTTTCTTGGTAAATGCTCTTTTGTTATCAAGCGGGAAGTACCCGGCGAGATATGCTGAATGGAGTTAGTCGAGTTCAATGTTGAACAGCAAAAGGTGACGAATGGGGAATTCCCCCAATTACACTACGTGATTTCCAGCGCATAATTCACTGTATGGCCGCGCTACGGGTGCATTGTACCCGTGTGCAGCGTGTGCAAACGCTCTCACGTTTGATGCCTAGATCCGGCCCGCATTTAGAGTGTCCGGTCCATTACTACAGAAAATTCTTTTTTCCCCAAGAAATTTGAAATGTTAGCATTAAATACTTTATGGTCACACATCTTTTTGGTATTAAGGATCCATCGACTTGGTGGGTGAGAAAAGATCAAGTTCGTTTTGGCAACTTCTTAATTTGAGGTTTTACACCAAAATTGTATTGTGGCGGCAATGTTACAAAAGGAACTAATTTTTGGAATTTACCATGTACAATAATTATGTAGCCACACAGCAAGAAACGTGCAATTCTGCTTCGACATTTCTATATGGCTTGTGTAGCCAGCGTCCTTGTTTTCTAATCCACCGAGGCAGAACAGTGGTTGACCTCGATTTGAAATTGCGTTCAATGTTCTCATTTGTAGACACATAAGTGTTATGACTCTCTTGATTCCCCTGCAAGTCGGCTACCCGGCATTTCACTGCACATTTGATCTAATGAACTCGCTGGAAACAAACATTAATCAGATAAAAAGTTACGATTTGGTTGGTTGAAATTCATCAAGAATAATCGATTATCCAACACAACCACCTGGCGAGGCATACCTCCATCGTAAATTACCTGAGGTCATTAGCGTACAGTTTGGGGACGAAGCCGTTACCAATCAACCAATCAAGGTTGAATTATGCTGCATACGACTAATAAGGTAGTTCTGCGTAGGCGATCGGGCGCAAGCATGTATTCCTAGCCGAAACCGCACGGTGTGTCAAGTTATTTACATTGGAAAACATCGCGCGAGCTTCGCAGGACCAACTAAAGATCTTGTTTTTACTATTTTCGAATTTCCCCAAAGTGAACTCGGAAACGGGTAAATTTTGTAAGATATGAAAAATGACAGGAGCACTTTTTTCAAAATCTGTCTAACAATACTGCAGAATAAGTGTACCTGTAAATGTAGTATGTTTATACCAAAACAAAGAATTTGCACACCGAGTGTTATTCCATTGCACTTTGTAATCTGTACTTTGCCAATATCCAGTGTTTGTTTGCTCTGTTTTGTTATCGTGGTGTTTTGTCAGGATTTCATGCAGTCAAAAAAAACGAAGGAACAACCCTTTGATTTTGCATGTGCTTTTTTTTTCGTTTCACTTACCACCGTAGTTCCTCTTGTCTAGTTGGAGGTCGACCTTGGCGTACCGCAAGATGGCCTCCAGGGTGCCGCAGGCGCCCTGGGAAGGATTCGAACAGACATTGTGCATGGCCGTCTGGCCGTTGCGATCCGTCTCGTTCGGATTGGCACCGTGTTCCACCAGGATGCGCGCCGCAGCTGGATTGCCGGTAATGGCCGCAATGTGAAGTGGGGTCTACGACAAACATTTATAAAAAAAAATCCATTTACTTTTGTGCCTATAACTAACAAGCCATACTTTTAACGCAGCTGGTACAAGACGCCTCAATTACTTACACATTACTTAATTTCACATTTCCCCTCCAATTGTCCACTAATTGTCCTTGAGCCTATCACCAGCCATGTTCATATCCTGTGAATATAGTCCAAATCTATGAGACTGATTCGTTTTTAGCATCATATAGCTCAGTTTCTCTGCTGACGAAAGGTGATACACAGTAATTGTAGCAATTAAAAAACCACTGGTCATCATGCTCATAAAATTAGATTAGTTTTATAGCTTAAACACTACACACGAATCAATGCAACTGCAGATCGTTGGGGATTATGACACGAACACACACTGATGAACTAAATGTCTAGATACATTTCGCAAATGAGCGAATGTTATATTCATAAACATAAATTGCAACTATACTATGGCCAATGAGCTCTGACAACTTGCAAGACAGTGTTCTTTCTAACGGACCAATGAGATCGTATCGACCTGTTGCATATCATTGAACACATCCAATGATTTCCTAGCTAGTTGGAAGAGTTCCACGAGCCGGCAGATGAGCCTCACATCCACATCCTCTTGAGATAAAGCAATGTGAAGCGGTCTGCAGACGTGAAGAAAAAACAAACTCGGTGATCAATGCAAGTAAAAGTTTACTTTGCAGATGGAAATAACTGTAGTTTCACGCATCACCTCAAAATTCAACACGATATGGAAGAAAAAGAATAATGTGAATGATGTACGGTAAATGTCGTTGTAGTGATGAGCGCCATTTTGTGTGGCTTTATTCGCCATATGCTATTCGAGGTCCAAATTTTGATTTTCTGGAAAAAAGAATCGGATATATCCGAACACACCAAATGCTTTCCGATAGCCTGTCAGGGTGATCTAACACTGACGTAAAGCGATTAAAAAAAATATTCGTATCTCGGTTGCGTTGTTCACTTCAGATGGAAGGATAAGTTAAAACATTATTTTTATTCCATATATCATCTCAACATTTCCACAATGCGACGTACATTTACCAAGTGATGCAGAAGATCGATAAAAGAGAATGTTTTACAAACTAGAAAGATAAAAGAGAAGGAGCTCCCTCGAATAACTGTTGAAAGGATTTTGCTACAATGTTCTTACAACATCTCACGAATGATTGTGACCTAATTAATTACAACATCAACACTGTTTCAAAGAAAAGACTCCTAATGTATTCAGGGAATACGTTGTGCGTGCAAAAAGAAAAAAATAGATTGACAAATGCGAGATCGCGAGGGCGAGATATAGGATCCTGATGATCTGTTTTTCAATCATAGTGACTGTATTAGGTCTGTTGTTGCTGGAGCGTGCCCGAAGTATATTGCAATAGTCAAGATATTATCGCAAGTGTTCAAACGTAGATAGAATTACTGGCTGGAACCAAATTCATGTCGAGCAGGCACACAAAACTGGTCACTGCAATGCGATGTACTTATATCAATCCGCTTATTTTGCGTATTGTTTGATTTTATATAGACAGTAGGTTTGATTTGGGGTGGGATGGGGTGTAGTTGGGGTGGGGTGGTTACTTTCTATTCTGATGTTCCTTTATGTTCATGTGTTTTTAGTTCTTTTTGTTTCTCTATATTTCTTTGGGGGGGCATCGGCTTGGGTTTTGTTCTGGTCAACATTTCTTGGTGCTTGTTTTCTTAATACGTTTTGCCTCTTTTGTTTAAAATTTGTTCCCCCCCCCATTCATTTCAGATTGCTTACGTGTCGCCGTCCTCATCCTGGGCCGTGGCGCGGTGGCATTCGACTGCCATGTACAGATTGTAACTTGGATCCACGGTAATGTGCTGGGGCTGCCGCTGGGGCTGTTGCTGGGGCTGTTGCCGCTGAGGTTGCTGCTGGATTTGCTGAGGTGCTGGGGCACGGGCACGCTGGCCGTTCCCTGGAATTAAAGGTGACAGACAGAAGGGAGGAAAAATGTATCAGCCATGACCAATCGAGCTTGGAGAACGTGCAGAACGATCCATTGAAGTCACTCCGCGCGACACTTCTGCTTGAGGTATTTTCGCTATTTCTCAGGTTCCGAAATGTGACGTCATTTGAACCAGGCGAATGGAGGACGTGCGCGTGTTGGTTTACGCGCTGGTTCTCGCACTAATGCCCTTTACACATATTACTGGGCGCGTGACTCTTTACAAATCCTGCATCTGTTCCTTATGGTATCCGGAATTCCTGTCACTGACATAGCAGGATTAAAAAAATTCACAGGGCCTACATCATGGACCGAGAAAAAGTCACTGCATCGCAAATGGCACCGCACAAAAATATAAATATAAAATAACAGTGACAAAAATCTGAAATCCAGGGAAAGTAAGGGGCGTTACTAAAGTGTGGTTGATGTCAGTGAATGACAGTGATGGCGCCAATTTAAAAGGTCCTAAAAGGGTCCTTTAGAAGGACAAGGATAAACTTCAATGACGATAAAAATTAAGCAAGATTTTGGATTTCCAACCGTTTCTATAATCAAAACCTTTCGGTGTCATCAAGAAGCCTACTCATGATAGGGTCAACTTCAAGTACATGTATATACACTGGACTGAACAAGTGACCTTTTTTCAAAAGAAACATAAAAACTTCTTCCCTAAATACAGTGGCTACATAATTTAATGCTATTAAAAATAATAATTGCCATAAAGCCTCTTGACATATTTCGTTACCACAAACCACATCGGTAAACACTCCTTTTTTGTATTATAATCAGTGACATTCAAGCAATCAAATAGCCAAGAACCCCCCCCCCAAAAAAAAAGAGGTCAAAAAGAGACCTTCGTAAATTCAGTAGAACAGACAGAAGCAACTCATCGCACAACGATGAAAAACAAGCGCTCAATCACTTTGAAACCTTCCGCTTGGAATCCCAAACAATTCAGCGTCACGCTCAATTGTTTGTCACATGCCGGTTGCATAATAAGGCGCAATAATTACACACAGAGCTACACGGAAAATAAAGTGCAAACTCATCCGTCTATCTGCACGGGGTGAACATTATCCTTCACGCAAACCGTCACCGATTTCATGAAGACTCATGGTTTGGCCCTTCATAGCCAACGCTATATCTACAAATTTGCCTTTTTGTGAAAACACAGAATGTGGAATAGTTGAAACCTGCCCTAGGTAAATCATCCTGATTTGGCTGATTTCAGTAGATTTGGTAATAACTTATAATACCAAGTTGTAGGCACCCGCGGGGCACAGTTTAGCGGGGTATAGGCAATTATGGGTGCGAGAACAGGATAAAGATTAGGTCTTATCCACATACAGTGCTTTTGCACAAACAGTTGTTGGACACGCAATATTTGTACAATGTTTACCGAGTCCCAGAAAAAAAAATTTATAAAGACAAGCCGGATGCCCAAACGGCTCGAAAATATGTAAGTGGGCAGCAAAATTCCACATGGGCATTAATATTTCAATAAGCAGCACATTTTGTTACATTTACGAGTATGGTACTTACAGTTTATATCCACAAGAATTCCACACATCACAACTGAACAAAAGATCGAACAATATAACGTCTATCCTTGCTGATAGCGACAGGCACAGTGCTCAAACACCGGTATAATGACAGCGATTAGAATCATCAGCTAAGTCCGATACTTCCTGGATCTCGGCAGGGTACATACTGTGCTGGCTGTAATTCTATTCTGGTGAGCGCGACTGCGTGGCCTTATAAACGAAGCGAGACGGGTATGTCCCCAGGATCGATGATTAGAAATACGTTCCCCGGGCGGTTGGGGAATCACGCGGGGGAGTTGACGGGGAAGTCCCGGGTCTCTTTCACGATGACTGACACTCACAGCTATAATGTGTGTGGGTGAAATTTCATTAGCAGACCCGTTGGGCGTGTCAGAGTTGTTATTACAACTGTGGGGGAAAACATTTGATACTTTCTCACGTGGTCCTTTCCCACTCCAACTCTTGTAAATATCTGTCTTCCCAAAATTGTCATCGTAGCTGGTATGGCGACGCATTGCAGGAAAAATCGTCACGCGCAACTGGGGAAGTCTCCATTTTCGTAACATTTACTGAACAAATAATGAACTCCCCGCGTTTTCAAGTTTATTGATTTTGAATTGTGTTCTTTTTCTAAGGAAGGCAGATCCTTGCGAGATTTTGAGTAATTTAGACTTCCAAATGTCACACTCTGAATGCCGAAAAAATTTTTTGTTAGTAAATCACGGACTGAATTAGGAAAAGTTCCGATTTGCACATGGTGGTAAAAGCTAATGACAGCTAACGTAGAGAGAACGATTTTCCTCTTGCCGTTAGGTTTCATATACAAATATCAAATCACAAAAGGTATGCATATAAAGCGATACAGATAAAAATGTCCAAAGTACAAACGGCTCTGGGGCACAATCAACATCCTAACATACATACATGTACGCGGAGATTACCGGGAGAGATGTGCACGACACACTCATTGCTCGACCACATGACTCGATCTACATGCACATGTACACGTTTTCTTGCCAAGTAAGAGGAAATGGCCAGGGACGAAAAGCGGACACGAAACGTCAGGCATGTCTGGCCTTACCCCATTAGTTATATTAACACAAATTCTCATGACTTTTATTCATATGAGAATTTCCTTCGAGTCACTCTGCTCATGACAACGTGACGTCACAGTGAGTCACTGCGTTGAATGCGCTTTCTTCGCATGCGTTGGAGTCACTCATGACTTTAAGAAAAAAAAGGCGTGAATGCATCTGGGTCTTACCGTTAAGCCAATTTTTGGCCAACACCAAAATTGCTTAACGGTAAACATTATGTCACGGCAAACATTCCACGGTTGCAGGGCTCAGCACAAAAGTTGCATGGGTAGCGTAGAAATTTCCATTGTTACATGTATGCCACTGACCTAAGCAAATATTTCCTCCATGGTTAGCGTGCTTTTTGCTCTGCTTACTGCTTATGGTTTCCGTAAGACGCGGGACCTCTAGAGTGAAATCGTGCGCTGAGTAGCGCCGTGAAATTGGGCCCAGAATATCACATGCAAAACTATCCGATTTGAAGTGAAAGTAGTGATCTCCCAATGACGTCATCTTAATTCATAGATAGAAACGTCTGGACTTGTAAAAATTGCACCCACGCTGCTGGGCAGTGCACATGTAATGCAAGGGCTTAATGAACCTACACGCTAGCACCATAGCCCTTCTGATGAAATTCCAATGAGCGCGTTAAATGTGCAAATCGCTCTGCTCAGAAAATATTCAGTACACGGCAAACACCAAGAACAATGTTTCAAAATACGTAGAAAGAATTTCCCCACACAATTTCCCCTAAATAAACAGGTTTCATTTCCTTGCCACCTTAAGACAACTATAATCATGTGGGTTAAGAAGGAAACAAGCGCATATGTACGTTTCCTTGTGCAATGTCACAGGAAAACGTGTTTTTAGCTGGTATCTGTGTGTACCAAAACAAGTGCAATCTTTTGTTCGACTTTTTTGCATTGTTATAACATCGAGCAAGGTGTGCTTAAATCCGGGGTTCTGCCAATGTTGTAATGTCGGAATGCGGAAGTACCGGTCAAAATTCGACCAGGCTGAATTACATGTACATGTAGGTACAAACGCCTGGTTCAACGCATGGCCTTACACGACCACCTACCGGTACCTTCTTGCCAAGTTTCGATCTTCAGTCTAAAACAGGCGCGCTGCTTCATTGAAACGCAACTGAAACAGCCGCTCAGCGAGCAGGTGAGTGCGCCCTCATAGGCCTACAGCGGTAAAAGAGACTGTCGGCCGGCCTAACGTATGCCGAAACAAAATTCCAAGGACGAGTGTTTTTTTGAAGGCTGTGCATAAACACGTATGACAGTCCGCAACAAACTATTCGTTGCCGTTGATGCATAAACGTAGTTTCTCCACGAGGGACCTTTAAAGATTATGAGTGGTTCAAATACGGCAAGATTTCAGAGGATTTTGGGATCACATAAGCTATAAACGTTGAAGTACAACAGATGTAGGCCTACATGTAGGCCTACGCATATCCGTCTTTGCAGTCTTCAGTCAAGGGAAGTGGACATTTTTTTCCGAAACAGACTGTTCCTTTTTTCATCCGTGAAGGAATCCACACCGTACCCCCAGAGAAAGGCGGTATAGTTCCATTTCTGTAAAATTGCCCTCTGCCTCCCCCTCTTGGATAGAGCACTACTTTTTGCCTTCATAAACTGAAAGAATTTTTCAGAATGCATTCCCCCGTTATAGTACTATATGATCCAAATGTAAGCCTTTGTACGCTCTAAGTCTAAAGAGAGAACATTCGCTCCACTGGGGTGAAAAATTCAATGACTCCTCCGACAAACTACAGCAACATTCAATCAATCGATCAGAATAGAGATCCCGCTGCACCTCCACTGGAAGGGGTTCTTTTTCAAATTGTAGGTATTTCAGTCTCAATGCATAAGAATTTCACTCTCACTTAGTACCTAGTTTCACTCTTTTGGATTTCGAATGCATCATTAAAGTGGCGCCCCCCCCAATAGAATAAAATAAAAGACAGAGTGGATTGCAATATGATGTCGGCAGCAACACAGTGGTCCAGGTTGACGGCACATTCAAAACTTAAATAACGTCAACTTCGACCAGTTGTCAACCACCTGCGGCGACTTTCGCTGGTAACCTGTACAACACAAAAGGACTGGATTAACCACATGACAGGCAAAATTGATCTGACAAAATAACGGTCGCTTAATTAAACTCGCCTGTGGTTGCTAATTTCGTGGGGGAATCACGGTGCGTACAGGAAGCGGAAAACCAACCAAAGTTTCAGTTCTTGGAAATGGTTTGCAGACACGTTCCCTTAAAGGGGGGAATTCAACCGGCACAGTTCAAGAAGCAAATAAACAAGCACACAACCTTTCCTGGTACGGGACGGAGGTATGTGAAGGTCATTTCTCTGTACCACCAACAGAAACCGTCCATTGTTCAATGCTTGGCGATGGACACGCAGACGAAACAGCATTCGAGCGTGGAAAACGACCCGACCTCGATACGTGTATGACAATATACTTCAACATTGATTTCATATTCTTATATTCCAACTGCACTCCACGGCTAATCTGAAGGTATGCGGGTCTACGTCATAATCTAAATATATCAGCTGAGGTGTACACATCTTTACTCGGTCTGAAATGTTCGTTCAACCTCGAATCCAGGCTGCAGGTAAGGCAGTAGACCCCATGCCTTGGCATGCAGTGATCACTTGCACTTGGCATGGAACCGGAGAAAAACCGTGCAATCCCTGTTTTACGTTTATTCCCTGTTTTGAAGGGACTTGATGTTTGTTTAGATATCTAAACCTGGGTTTGATGCATCTGATGAGATCATGCTTTCATGGGCTTCGACAGTATTTCTTCCGAGGGACACCATTTCATCCCGAGGGAAAACTTCCGTTATAGGAGCAAAGCATTCATCAGCGAAAAAGTTGTGAGAATAACAGCGGGAGAGGGTCTTTTGTGGTGAGTGTTTTTTTTGTTGTTGTTATTTTGTTATTATTATTTTTTTTATTGAACAAATTGGTGATTTTTATTCCAAGCCGCCTCTCTCTTTTCATTTCATTTTCAATTGCCCCCTGTTTTCTAGGTTTTTTTCCCCGGGGGCAAGCGACCGACCCACCCCCAGACACGCCAATGGATTTTTTTTCTTTTTTGACATATGTCACAGCATATTATATCTCCCATTATTTAGGCTCAAGTTTCGGTTTGGTCGGGCTTGGGTTGAGTAAAAAGAAGAAATGACTTAACAATATTGTACGTACAAAGCCACGTACATCATTCTGTTCAGAACGATAAAAGAAGTAACCGCTCATATGTTGTCATTGTCAGCAACTAGGGCCTGCTCTTTTGACGTCAGAGTCGTAATTTTCCGTGGCTGCTAAATCTATGGCATGCCGTCAGTACAAAAGTAAAAGAATAATTAACAAAGAATTCAAAAAATCCCTTGCAGCTATGTCAGAACTCCAGACGATTCATTTTGTTGGTAGCAGTGCGACTGCAACGCTTGCGTTTCCCATAGTGCTTTGTGAACCAACGATGCGCAGTTAGCACCAAAGGAGCCTCCGTTGCTAAGGATATAGCGCCCTCTATTGGTCCAGCTCCAGTCCCATAAGCGACACCATGCGTCGAATGCGTCACCATGGCACAAACGAGGCATTTCAAACCAAAACGAGATTTTGGTTTGAAATTTGTGAGGACGTTTTGCAGGTTATTGCTCGAAAGATTGTGACCGCGTGAGTATTTAAACACCGCGTGAGTATTTAAACACGAATACCTGCCCTAATAGCAAGAAGAATGCACCAGCAGTATAGCCTGCCTGCTGAGATGCCGATAGACACTTGGTATAGGCCTACATACAGTATCCTTTCTGTACGGTATATACCAGATATAGTTTTGTACCAAAACAAATTATGAATTTATGAGGGCCCAGTTTCGTGGCGCCACAAGCACATGATTTTATGCTATAACAGAGGCACCGTGCAGGGTCTGCTATCAAAAGGTCACAGTTGCATACATGTATCTTGTTCCTATAAGTGACTGCTAAAACTATGGCTGGCCGCCAAGACAAAAGTAAAAGATTTATTCACAAGGTTTTCAAAATTCCACACTCCTTTCAAAACATCAAATAATAATACACGCGCTGCTAAGTAACAAAAAAAACCAAAAAACTACAACCTCTTTAACATTAGTGGGACATATAACATTTTGAAAAAAAATGAGGTTAAATAAAAAATCAGTCATAGGGTAATTTTTTGCAAACTTTGGCCATCCATACAAGTTGTAGGCAAAATGAGATTGGTCTTAAGGCCGTATTTAAGCAGTAAACGCAGCGAAAGGCACGCTAACCACGGAGGAATTTGTTTTTACTTAGTGATACAACAATAGAAATCTCCATGCGCGCGCAACCGTTAGTGCAACCACCGCAATGAAATCTAATAACAGTGCTTAAGGTTCGCAGTTTTCTAGTTTCTTTCTGTTACAGCGTCAGCAGAACTTTTTTTGCTACTAAGTGCTAAGTAGCTAGTGCGCCCAGCTGGTGCTGCATGAACTATGGCATACGTATACCTGTCATAAACCTTCGCTCCACAGCTTGTCTCCGAAAAAACAAAACAAACATACCAGGCCCAAGTTGGTCACATTTTCATTACATGTACATCCTTACCTGGTGCCTTCCTTTGCGCTGCTATCTTCTTGCCGTCATTTCCTGACTGACTCTGTGGTCGAGGGCAAGCGACCATGGCCGGTAACTGGTGGCCGAACTTGACCTGCGATTCCCCTGGACATCCTGCCTTGTTCGACGGCTCGGCTGGATGAGCCGCGGCCCGAATGCCCACCACAGGCACTAGAGGCCGGCAGGAACTCTCGGCGACGGGACTCGGTACCTTCCGATCGTCCTCGTAACAGGCTCGGTATTCCGATTTGACAGCGGGGGCATTGGTCAGCGGTCCGACGGGTAAATCGTAGCGCGACCGCCGGCCAGGCTTCGCCGGGGCGTCGGATCTTTTCCTGGCGGAGGATCTCGGCCGCGCCGGCACCTGCAGGTCACGGTCCGGCACCGTCGGCCCACCGCCCTTGTCAGGTTTGTTGTCGTGACCGACATCACCATTGAAGGCACTCACCAGTCTAGCAATTCCTGCTCGGTCTTCCTTCTCTGTTCGTGGTCTAACTGGTCCCTGGTTCGAATCCACCCCTGGACGCGTGACCTCATTGTCTGCACATTCCGTAGGTTTCTCCGATGCTGATAAGTTGAGGGGTAAAGTCTGCATTGTGTGGTACATTGACACATCTCCGTCCTCCTTTTCAGACATTTTGGTAGGCACGGGGGAATAACAATTAGGCATCGGGTGAGCGGAGGTAGAATTTAGAATGTTAGGGGATCACCAGGAAGAAATAAATCCAGTTGCTTGAAGTTGGTATGTTCACTTCTCATCACGCTCATAAATTAGTTCTTAAAACATGCTTATCGAAGACAGCTTTCAAAGTAGGTCACGGTCAAGGTCCTGATACGATAATGTTTACGGTATGCCTGTAACAAGTAACAAAAACGGTAAGTGAAATCTCCACAGAGAAAAATAAAATCACAGAAGTCAACGGCATTGAACGGGTTTTTACTTTCAACACACCGAATGTTCAAAAAAGCGCCTCTGGTGACATCGCACCAACAGCGCCCTCAGTTGCCCTGAATAATTCAATTAAAAGGTGCTGAGGGAAATGTGAATTTCAAAACAAATGAACAACCCCCCCCCAGTTTTTCTATAACTCAGAGGATCTAGGAATAGAGGTGTTTCGCGCAACGTAAGATGACGAGCAAAGGCATTGCATGCAGGAAGCGTACCATTTCTGTGAAGGCAGGTGCATAAAGTTTCCGACTCAGTGTATTTCTATTGGCAGTTGTATGTACGCCGGAATGTTGAAAGACTTCGAAGACGTGCGCGTTTCCGCGCACATTGAAAGTTGACCATCAAAAATTACGTGACTGAAAATCCTCTACAGATGACACCAGTTAAAGTTTGTGTTAAAAAAATTCATGTCGTCTTTAAGTCACTTGAAAAGGACAAAAGCAAATACGGAAAAGCAACTAACCTCACAGTCCGAACACCCCTCAACCACCTCCACGAAAAAGAACGATTAGAGAGGGTTAGAGGCATTACTTCCCATCAAACACGTCAGTGAAATTAAAAGTTGAATTGTCAGCAACCTGCAGTTTTTTTACATTAAATGTGGATTTTTGTTTCCTCGGTTACCCGCGGTGGGTACGATAGCATTATTCACACTAATTTAATGTAATGAAAATGTAAAAAAATGTGGACTGGAAAGTCGTAATATTACAGAGTCTACGTGGATTTAGCATAAAAAGCATTTTCCTGGAAAGAAAGAATAAACACAACCTCACATGTACTGAGTGAAAAGGGGCAGCTAATCTTGATAAGTCAGACCATGGAGGACCATTGTCAGACTGGGTAGAATTTCATTGGCTCGTTCACATTCGCGTGGTTTTTTTGCGCAAATGTAATTACTGGCTGTGTCTAATTTTACTCAGCACTTTTACAATTTCCACCTTTCAAAAAAACTTTGATCAGTTTCACATAACAGTGCACTCAGCTTACGACGATCACACGAATGCTGTCAAGTCGACCACCAATTTTAATAATCCCCAAGCTTAGCCTATATTCATAAGTGCTGATGTCCGGCAGGCACTCGCAACTGGCTAAAGACGAAGCGTAAAACTGAGTACATCAAGTACACACACACCATGCGTGTTGATATACGGGAATTCAGAACCGTACGTTTTCAACCCAAAAGGCCAAACGGTTTCTTCAAAGGCCACGTAGCCTCTTTGGTTATTAGCGGCAGAATTTGGCAACAAAATTCCACTGAAAATCTCTGCCTTCTCGACCGGACAAACCAGTCATGTCAGGCTTAATGCGTACGTACTACAACAGTACAACCATTACCGATGTATGGAGGGCAACGGGGACCTATACACACGGATAGACGTACATGTACACTGTACATGTACATTACATTACAGCACAGCCCACCACAACTGCTGTGTGTGCACGGTACAGCAGGTCGACCTCGATCAACAAAATAGCCAAGCCCAATGTCCGGTTGTTTCGCAACGCCAGCCGGATCACAGCCTCACACGGGCACACGGTCTGTTATGTCAGGCTCAATCTAAAGACAAAAACCGACTCGATTACCTTCGATCTGCGGCCCAAATCTACGGCCAGGAGTCCCCTTCCACGGCATACATGTAAGCAGAGAATCAGTATCCGCTGCATGTAGACTATGACGAGTCCTTATGGAGCGGAAACTACAGTCACTGCGCGGGAATTCCCCCCTACGAACTCCAGCGATACATCATGAGTTCGTGGCGCGCCATTATGTGCCACGTTCAACTACGCTGCACTTTACAGTCGAGAAGGGAATGTCCCTAATCCGCGACCGTATGGCACAAGCAGCATGAACGTTCCTTACAAACGCAGCCGGAGCGTAGCCTTATTTTACATATTAAGAGCATTTACGTACGTACATGCAAATGATCTTTCATCGTGTACACAATGGAAGCCAGTGCCAAGCAAGTCACGTACTTGTCTATTCAAATCAAGAGAGCTAGCGAAGCAAGTTGGTTTATGCACAGCGCAAGGGCGCTCGGTGACCCGTCCGGTGATTCCCCTGTACGCACGTACGTACGTATTCGGTATATGCTTTATGTGGTTAGATCATCAATAGTTGGTACTCGGCCGCAACAACTGCAAGGGGCTTTGATTGGTAACCGGGCTTCGCTGGCACAACGGTATATGCTTAATTGTACATGTACATGTACATCTACATGTATGATCATGATTTCATAAAGGGAATAATTTTTCTCACAAAAAAAGTATTTTTGTTTGACACGTGAGGACTATTCAAACGTGTAGGATCGGAGAAAGTCCATTGGAATATATACGGATCGCAATGGAATAAAATTGGCTTTTGCAAACGAAATTCGTGGAGTTCCCCGTATTTATTGATTTTTCTTTAGAAATCACACTTTCATTACCAAGTTAGCATCAACTTTAATATAGAAGCCTAAGTAATACATCCTTTCAAATCATTGTACATACAGCAAGCTTCCTAATTGCAGATTACCAGAAAGTTACTGAATTTCAGAATCTTATTAAAACATTGGCTTTATTCATTGTCAGAGTGTTGTTTTTTTTAACATTACTTGGAGCAGTTTGGAAAGATGCCATGTGTTTGCCTCCTGTCCATCGGTCCACCCGGACTCTAGGTAAGGGTTTCCATTCATGACGCCTTCGCGAATTCTCCCACCCCCCCCCAAAAAAAAAAGAAAAAGAAAAAAGAAAGAAGAGGAAAAGAAAAGGCAGAAAGAACTTGAAGAAAGAACGCCAATAATTTAAGGATACTTGGCCTTCTGAAGAACAATATTTGTACCTGCCGGTGGATGGACGCCCGTGTTCACACCTCCCAGCCCGCTCGAGAAGTTTACCGTACCCCGCTCAAAGTTCAAAGAACACAGATCACTGTTGACTCAGTTTTTCCATCGGTCAATTAATGAATATGCCACGTAAAGAGGGTAAGAAAAAAATTCTTTGAAATTACCCCTTTTGTGTCCCATTTATAATAGTTTTCAATTTGTGCTTTAATTTTTTTCCATTTAATATTGCAGCTATATGTCAGCATTTAATTCTGTTTAATTATGTTGCCTGGCCACACTCTGATACTCTTACGTCTTACTTGACAAATACTCCGATTAGTTTTCAAAAGCAATATTCTCATCTGGAATCTCCGAGTAAGTTCCCGACGCGATTGCATGATCATAGAAAGGAAACTTCGACAGCCTTGTACCCTTTGTAATACATGTATCAAAATATGAATGTTCATCTCGTACATGGGATCTTGTGAAAACCAACCCCAATAATCACACTTGTTTGTGATCAGGTTGAGCAAACAACAACAGCACAATTACTGCAATCACTTAGGTTTGCACATCTAGCTGTTGGGTCAAAGTGCAAACGATATGCGTCTGTCTCTGTGATATCCACTGTAGTACGGTACTAGTACCACTAAACTGGAACCGGGACGTGGCCGACTCCGTACGGCTCCGTTCTGCCATAGTATAGGCCGCTTGATCTGATTTCTAAATCACAGCAGATGCCGTACGGTCCCACTCAGGTGCAGCCTCATGCCTGTTTGGCCGGGCACTCGGCATCAATCGACACAGGGAGTAATGGCAAAAATACTAGTAACTACATGTATTCAATTAAAACAGCAATATTAAAATGCCCTTAATTGTTTGCCCCTTTGTGTAATACCTTCCACTGCCACAAAAGCTGGGAAAAGAACCCGAAAATGTCAGTCCCTTATAAGTAAAATTTTCGAGTCCATACCCCTTGAACTTAGAAACCAAAGGTGTGAAAAAAAAGGAAAAAGTGTTTACAATGAGGGCGCTCTTTTGATAAGTCGGTCACAGGCTAGTTCACAACCACGTGTGATTAAGGCTAGTCTAAAGTAGTGGCTAACACTGGAAATACTGCTGGCGCTAATGGAAGACACTTCCAATAGACGTGCGCTTTATTTGCAGTCGCAGCCAGTTGTCTCCATCCTGTGGACACTGATTGAACTGCGCACGCGTAGTGATTCTTTAACCTGTTGCCATAGGCGTTCACGACGCAGGTGGCTTCTTAGCTCCCCGTGACTCTCTCAATTTCGAGTGATGATGCGATTTTCAGTGAATCCCTCCCCTGATTGAAAATGCCACCGAAAAAGAAAGGAAAGGGTAAAGGCAAGGGCAAGAAAGGGAAGAAGAAGAAGAATGGTGAGTTGTCATGGTTCTTGTTCGGCACAATTCCATTTTCTGCGCAATGAAGGTCTGAATCCGGGCTGACGTTTTTTACCATTAAAGAACTACATGTATGGAAAGTGGGCATGGCCAGTATTAGTGGGACTCGTTTTAGCGAGGAGCTCCATACTGTTCTATTCGAGTATCAAGAGGATCGGTACCACCCTTGACTTTGGGACATAATTTATACCAGTGACCGATGACATGACATTTGTAAACAATACGACTTTGGCACATTCTGGGCACTTCATAGCCCCACTAGTGTGGCACGGACTCTCACTCCCGATCCATCCTTAGCCACACATCCGAATGCGCAATTTCGTGTCGGCGTATTGAACATTTTGGCGCACCCACTTATCATCGTGGGCGCGCTTTCTTTTGCACACGAACATGATTCGTGACCTTTCTGCTTTCTAAAAACCATTTATGGAATGATTTCACTCACATTATTGAAGTATTTTCCAGTCTTTTTGCCTTTATCCATTCAATCTAATGGGCTCGCTCTCTCAGTCGCCATCTTTAAAATAAGATCGTTGAACATTACATCACTTGACCCCTCATCGTCTCGACGTCTGTTCTAGTTGGGATGGGTCCAACTATAGTTGGGACTGATGCTATAGTTGGGGGGTTACATATTTAACTGAGGAATAACTTGTTCCTGTTTGCCATGTTCACTGTATTTCTTTTTCAATTCATTGCACGTTGTTCTTCACACGGTTACATTAACCTTCCTGAACAGATGCCGAACTTACAATTGAAGACAAGTACAAGAAGACACTGAATGAAATCGAGGCTCTCAAGGACCACCTGTGTAAGCTTTGATACCTGGTGTTCATCACTTGTAATATCAGGCACGCCTTCATCAGTGCTGTAGTTGGGCCGGCCTGAGCATAGTGGGCAAATTTCCTCAGAAATTTCTCGACCTTCTCCAAGTTTATGTGGCTCTCATCTGACAGAATCCATTCAAATTACATGCATGCCAACCTGGAATTTTATCTATTTTGGCAAGCAGGGGTTGCCAATGAGGTTTGGACAGGCTATATGGCACAAACTGCCACTCTGGGCTATTTGGGCTGGCCCAACTTAAACACTATACAAGTTGGGAGTGACAGTTGAGACAGATGCTGGGGCATAACATTCTCGATGTAAGAGTACACTTGGGTGTGAAGTAACTGTCAAAAACTCAAATGTGACCCACCATCCCAAAACCAGGCTGAAGTAGGTAACTTCATAACTCTGAAATAGTGGAACTTCAGCTCTTCAGATTTTCACGGGAATTTTACAGCTATCCCTTCCCTTAAGAAGCTCTCTGCAGACAGAATTTTGATTTAACATGGATCACTTTAAATTGTGAAAAACAAGCTGAAGGAGAGAGAGTTTCCCACGTCACAAATACCGACTTCAGCCTGGTTTGGGGATGGTGGGTCACAAATTGGCCAGAAGTCCATGGCGTCCAATTTCTGCCAAGTGCTGCATTGTCACATATTCACGGTTGTGTTTGCTCGTGGTCATAAAATTTTCTGACATTTAACCCCAAATCCTTCAAAATCAACCTCATGAAGGATTTTGAAGGAAAATTTAAGAGAGGTGTGGAGATTGGGAAAGATTTTAGTTTCACATTCTTCTGTAAAAGCTCAGTAGAAAAATCTGAGGAAGGAACCATGCATCTTTGTTTTGACTGACGGAGTGCATGGCACAACCCACTTGCACGAAAGAAAAAAAATCTTTTTGGCTAAAAGTCACATGCTACATTTGGATGTCCTTCAAACTGTAACACATATTATACCCCCAAACCAGGTAATTTGTTACTCAAAAGTTCACCGAGACTTACTCACATAAACTCTCTTGAGCTGAGTTGCTGTACCATCTGTTGTGTTTGCTGCGATCAGATAGTTGGTTAGTTTCCCATCTAGACTGAGGGTCTACTGAGTAAAAATCAATAGCCACATTAATTGCTCTTTCATGAGGCTTTTGCTCGGACCCCTTGAAACTCAATGATACCCTGTCAAGCGGTAAACTAAAGAGAATTTCAAGAAGTCTTGGTTGAAGTCTTTTCAAGGGAGTCGTGCTAGTGGGGCATATCACACTTGATTCCCATGGGATTTAAGACCGTATATTAGGACCAGGCCTTGTGATCATTCCGTTGTTCTTTCAGCACTTAGAAAGCAGTTGGCCCGACGCGCAGAGTCTCACAGCGAGGAATGGAAGCTACGGATGAAGATGGCCCAGGAAGACCTGGAGCAGCAGAAGGTCGATCAGAAGGATGTCGCATCAGGTTAGAGTGGACATTAGAAACAAAAGCGCACTTCAAAGATCGACGAGCAGTGAAGCATTTGGTCAGCTGCATCTCATGCAGCCTGCTGCATGTCCACCTGTCCTGAGGACTGGCAAACGTAACTTTGGACAGGCAGTTTTTGCTTGCGGTACTGGAGAAAGAATCTTTGTATTTCCTCTCCAAATGATTGGTCATTATGTGCCCAGAAGGCACCGAGGGGTGTCATTTTGGCAAATGACATGGGAGTGGACAGGTGGGTTGTAACCTTTGCCGGGAAAGGGCAAGAGATGTTACAATCCCAGTAGACAATTAAGTGCTTTCTGACAATGTACACGCGAAATTGAGTAACACTTGAGAGACCCTAGTCGGTCTGGTTTTTTTAAATACCAGTTTGTTTGGTATGTTGATGGCGGAAGCTTGGAGTTGTGATAAATTTTCTACAAGCATGTCCCCCAACACCTGTGAGACATGAATTTCACCATGAAGCCACAACTCTATTATTTTTTCTTATCAACAGACATGACGAGACAGTACAAGACCATGCAGACTGAGATGGGCGTCCGAGTTCGCCACTTGGAGGCTGACCTGGCAAAGACTAAAGCCCAGCTAGGTATGCCCAAGGGTGGATCCAAATTTTTTTTGGGGGGGGGCAAAATCAGCCTTATCTCATTATTTTGTAAAACAGAATAGTTTGGCTCCTTTTGGGATGCAGCCTCTGCTCCCCCAGGTGGGCAGGCTCCCAGACAAGACACTGCTTTGCAGAGTCACCCAGTGAAGTTAGCCTCTGAGGTCATTGCCGTGCGTCACAGTTTCCAATCTCTGTTTGCCGACAGCCAAAACCGAACAAGAGCTGAAGGCCACCAAGGAGGAGAAGGAACAAATGACGAAGCAGAAAGACGAGACCATAGCGGAACTTGAGGAGAAAATTCGGAACATGGAATTCTCCTATGAGAATATGCTCCATGTAAGTGGCCAGGAATTTGCTTGTACAATCAACCCTTCCCAAGGGGGGATGGGGTGGGGGCAATGGAGCCCCTCAATTTATTTCCTATAAATAATACAGGAAAGGCAATTTTTTATTCATTAGTTTCCCTTACTTCCAAAACATATAAAAGCCCCCAAACGTAGCCTCACCCCTCAGAAAGATAATTACATTTTACATCAAAAAAATTCTCAAACAGTGTGCCACCCTAAAAGAAGTTAGCCCCCCCCCAAAAAAAAATGGCTCTGGATGTGCCCTTGGTATCTCCCTTTCCCATGCAGATGTGAAGGATCATAATTTATTGTGATGCTGAAAATTATTTAATCTCTCCCTGTTTCATACCACAAATTTGCTAATGTTGGGGGGGGGTTCTTGATACTGTATGCGTTAAACTCATGCCACCTTGCCCGCTCTTTTCTGGAAGTCTTGTTTGAAATTTTGAATCCAACATTTTTGCAAATTTGAAACACTGACCCTCCCATTTCCCCAATTTGGAAAGTTCTCATGCCCGTATTCTGATCATACAAGTGTTCCTGGGAATGCGCACGGTTTGTTACTGCTAGTCCATCATTGTTAGTCCTTTCACAAGTCCAGTCTCATATGCTTTTTTACAATACCAGGGGCAAGCTACACATGGCTGAGCGAAAGTTGACGCAGTAATAATACCTCTGCCACAGCTTATTGAAATTGCGTGACTTCCAGAACTTCAGCAGTCTAGTTGTCCGACTGTTTTGGGCGTTTTCTCTTGGCAGAGACCTAGCCCTAGACAACAGATTAGGATGCAACCTCAGCTGTTGTGACTAGATGGCTTAATCATGGTGGACTTGTAGGGAATTTTGGTAGAATTGACCCCAATACTATCAGAAAATCATGGCGTCAAACTGTTCCATCAGTCCCCCCATAAGAACGCTACCTGTCTGTATTAAAGGGATCCCTTGCCTTTTGATTACAAGTACCAAAATCCAGAATTAGATTGACACTCAAGAGCTGCTTCCATCTATATCATCCCCTCCAGGAAGCCTTGGACAACCTGGTGATGAAGCTAGATGTGGCCAAGAAGCGTTGGGAGGCAGAGGCAACCCACATCCACACCGTCGAGAAAGAGAAGCTACTAGCATTCGGCCTCAACCCCTTGGATATATAGACACTAATGTTGGCAATATCAACGCTGATAATGGAAATGGTTGGGGACTTGTTGACAACTGTTGAAGGGGTCCATGCAGTGCAAAGTGTTTAACATAACCAAGAAGAATGCATCTTTGTGTTTCAGTTAACTTTGTTTTCAGTGTTGGTTTTGCTATTTTGTAAGGTATTTTGGTTTTTATGCTAATGCAAATGAGAGAAACTGTGATGTCATCCTTGGTAAAAAAAAACCTCAAGTTTTGCACGATAAAGTGCTGGAGTTTTTAACATTTTGCTGACCTAAATGTTTCAAATTCCTTTGTATAAGTACATTGCAATTTAGCCAATGAGCAACCCTTTCTCAGAAATGCTTCCAAGAATGTACAAGCTGAGCAGTATGTGTCTTCCCTGATTGACATCACAGCAACAGCGCCCTCAGTCATCTAGAAAAGCTCAGACAATAGTTGTGTATGTTGAAAAACAGATGCAGATTTCAATACTTCCAAGCCCCAAAGGATGTCAATTAATATTCACACATTTGGAAATATTATCAAGATGCACATAGGTGCCATAGAAAAATTCATCACAATGGATTGCAAAACACCCATTAACTTGATACTTGGGGTCACCTCCATTTGAACTTTCTCTTTGTAGATGTGGGGGGTGCTTTTATTTTTGTAAATGCTGAATTCACCATTGCAATCGTTAGTGCATGCTTATCAATGTACTTACTTTTTCGGAGATAATTTTTTTCCTTTTCAGTGGCTAGTTTTGATATTTGTACAAAGACTATAGAATGCTGGATGGAACTGAACAAAACTGCTGATTTTGGATGCAAACTACGAACAATCAATCATGAACACATTTATATTTTTTCCAAGTGAAGTTACTGTTTAAGAACAAATGTACATAACATGTATTTTGGGGAAAGTGGTGGAAATCTATTTAATGTAATTAAAGACTGCCAAACTTTAGGGTGTAAGGAACAAAATAAATTTCCAAAGATGTGGATTGAATCACGTGAGGTGTTTTATTGCATTGTGCCGCAGGAGGTGCCCTTAACAGGTGTGTACAGGTGTCCAGTAAGATCACAATGGTTTGCACTCGCATGTGTGTCAGGCTGACGCAACACTGACACACCATAGTGAGTAGACATAGCCACAGACATAATCTGTTGAGGCTGTGGCTATGTGTGTTTTACAAAGACACTGCAGCTAACATCCACAGACAATTCAGTTAATGCAGCCACACTGACAAAACGATCTTGTCAGAAAAAGGCTTCCAGAGCTACGGCTATGTCTACTGCCAAGGTGTACAAATGTATATGTATTTCCATGGAGCCTAGACCTAGCTGTACAGAACAGATTCAGATGAAGCCTTACTTATGCACAGAGGTGTTTATAGAGAGGATTCTGACACGAGTGTCTCAACTGTTGGAACCAAAATAGGGATTATGCATCAGTGCACATGGACAACTAGCATACAATAGCTGCATGCTGTACTGGACACATAAGGAACAGCCATTTTGGTTGCAAAGTGAGAAGTTGGCACTACTCTACAGACAAATCCGACGAGACACCATTTACACTCAGGCAGCTCACGCAGCTGTCTCAACCTGATCACGTGCGCGCACCTAGGCAACTGACTGCTGCCTATTGGTCAAGGAGGAATTTCATGTGCTTGCACTGCCTGCGTGCCAGGATCGCCCCGTAAAATGGCTTCTAATTTGTTTTGCAAGTGAAACACTGACCACTGTTGACATTACAACAATCCAAAATCATGCAGTCCTGTACATATGTACATTACATGTGACATTTCCAGTTGAATTGGTGAGGAAGTCAGTATCTTTTGAAGACACAAAGTTACAGTACGTGTATATCAAACGTGGCCAAAATGACGACATCATTACAGGTAGGTTTGTTGTAGGCTTTCTCTTTGAACATCAAAAGGAAAATGACTGAAACATACTGCAAGGGCAAACTGTATTTACATCCAATAACTATGCCCGGTCCCCGTTCAAAATGAACAAACATATTCCATTGGCAATATTATTAACTACTATGAGAACAACTGGGCATGGCTTCATACTCATTGTGGAAAGACCGATCGTGGTTTGGTGCTCAAAACTTGTTTTCTTTCTTTCCAAAACCACATCTGGAACTTGACAGTTTTAGAAAAGACTACATGTACATCTTTTTATTTGGCTAATTAGTTGACAGGAATTGGCGCCTGACATCTCTCGAGAAATCCGCCTCTCTCCCCCTAAAACCTTGTCTGAAACATTGTTGGTAACTTGAGGGGGAGGTTTTCCTTAATCTCTCGGACAAACATTTTGATTTATTTATAACTTGTATCATTTGTACGAGGTTTTACTTTTGCATTTGAACAAAGAAATTTTTCACAATAAAAATCGAGAAATGAAGCAGCAAAGATGGCACACCCTTGACGAGACGGAGCAGCTAATGATCGGAATACTGAATCCTTTAAAAAGTTATATTCTAAAATGTACATGAGTGGTGAAGCAGTTTTTCTCCTCTCCAACATATCGCTGTGTTTCAAGTGCGGCATTCTAAGCAACTGACATGTTCCATTTCATGAAGAAAAGCTCCTTGCCCTCTGACCTTTCTTTGGACCCTGTTGATGTAGTCGTGTCTTAACTAAATCCCACCAAGTCCATTACAAGTCATCTGGTCTAAATTCAAGTCCAACAGTCATCTAGTCAAAAGCCAAGTCGAAAATGGGCTTTGAGAAAAGCCTGTCTCACCCTGTTACTGTGACTGGTCTCCAACTAGCGTGACTTGGACTTTCTACAGACTGGAGTTTCATACCATAGACAGAAAAAGCTCCTTGAACTTTGACCTTTCCTTGGAACCTGTTGATGAGTCTGGACCAGAGTTTAATGCCCATAGACAGAAAATGTTCAACCAGTGACTACTCCATTTGAATACAACCACTAATGCAAATATCCTACGTTCACCCCTTAACAGTTCAACAGGCCCGAGGATCCAAGAGAAATCGCCAACCACTGAATTAATTTCTGTCACACACTCATTTAATTAAACGTAATGCCCAAATCAGCAAGACTTTAGGTCAGGGTTTGATTGTGACATGTCACAGAACCAGAATGTTCCAAATGTAGACTATGAGAGTTCCTAAGGTTCCCCAAATATGTAATATAGTTGAACACCACTCAGGTCTGAGAACACTAACACAACATCCTGCTCTGATTTTAGGACCCTACTTGTATTTTCTGTTTTCCAATGCCGATAATTCAAGGTCCATGTTATAACAAGGTACGTGTAATTTCTCCAGTCCCAACGACCTTGCTATGAATGCGTTCCCCTGTATTCTCCTATTCCAAGTTCTCAAGGAGCGTTGACTTTTGTGTAGTCAATGAAAAGAGGATTGGGCCTCTCGCTCGAAGTGCTCTGCGTGGTTTAGAATGCCAGACTGGAATTTCTCTGTTGCTTTAAGAATCTATAGTGTTGAATACGTGCTCCTATCGTCTTGGGGATGTCCGCAAACTCTGCCGTTCTGCAAATAACACAAAAAATTGATATGCATGACATCCAAGTTAGATCTGGAGATATCTTGAAATCTGGAGTACATGCTATGAAGTTTCCTTTTGTTTACTCCGTTTTTGTGGAGTAACGGCAACGTTAGCAATTACTGTATACATGTACTCTGAATCAGTGGCGTAGCTAGGATTTTACTGGTGGGGAAAACACAGGGGCATCAGCATCTTATGGGGGGCACACCTTTCAGTAGTGTGTTTTTTGGGGGCTTGTTTTTGTTAACCTTGTTCAATATCCATTTCTCTGTTTTTTTGGGGGGGCACCAGGAATTTGGGGGGGGGGCACAGGCCCCCCAGTGGCTATGCCACTGCTATGAATGAAAGGTAGTTAGCACTGAGTATAAGCTTTTGGCTTCGGTTTGAAGAGCTAAATACTTCAGTTTTCAGATCACAGCAAATGCTTGCATCAAGAGAGAATGCTTGACTTTTATTCTGACAGCCCGTTGATTGAAACAAACTGCATGTATTTCTTAATCAAATGGGGCATGTGGTTTAGTAATTAGGGTGCATGACTCACTATCAGAGGGTCCGGGGGTTCGAATCCAGCCACTGGTTACACATTGTGACCATGGACAAGACAATTCACTCCTCGTTATGTGAGTTTTCTGATGCATATCTGGGCTAGTTTTTTGTAGTCTTTTGTACAGAGTCTAGTCTTTTATTCAGAATGCTAAAAATATAGCAAAACCTGAATTATGAAGACACTTTAAACTCTAACATGTTTCGGTCAAGAGACTCGAAATGTGGAAAGTTTTTGAGAAATGATAAGCCCTCTCTCTAAGGGATATTTTGAGGCAAATCTTTTCACCTGTGTGAGAGGTTTATATAACGCCAGAGTCCTTCAATTTGGTGACCAGATCCTCGACTGACTCCACTTTCTGGCCGGCTTCTCTCACTGGGGGGTCGTTGACACTGATGACTTCGATCCTCGGCGCGAGCTCCACTCCCAGGTCTGAGGCTGCCTTTTTGGCAATGGGCTTCTTCTTGGCTTTCTGGCCAGTGAAGAGGAAAAGAGACGATAAATCATTCTCCGATTCACCAGTGGTGATTTCGAATTCTTCTCATCACCGCACACAGGTACACTGCTCTAATGACCAAACAGGGAACAAGTACACGCTTGGCTGGTCTTGTAAATGTTTGGCTCAGGAGAACGGACGATGATAACGTGGGGGACATAAGGATCAGGTGTATGGTCACTGATATCTCCCAAGCTGATAGTGAGGAACATTCTTTTGAGACCGGCTAAGTACATATTTATTTCCAATCATAAACACCTTTAGTGTCACAATGTCACAATGACTTAAACAAGTGATAAATTTCCCAAAACTTTGTTCAACCATTCTAACCTGACTTTCTCAAATACCCCCTTTAGCCATGTAATGATACATTTGTGTATGTGCCTCTCTTGAGTAGTTGGCGCTAATCTCCTCACGCGGAGATTGGCGCCTGCATGGCACGTACTGCATGAAGAGGTAAAGTACCATTGATGTACCAATGCAGTGTGCGTTGTTAACTCTCAAAATGCTGACTCATTGGTAGTTGTGCGCAAACACAAGGAGGGAAAAGGGGCTAGATGTCACAGGACTCGAACTTTCCATGCGATGCTGGATAAGTGTTTAGGAGCAGCAAGCCCATGCTTTTCAACCGTTTAAGACCAGCCAAGTGCATTCAAGAACAGAGGAGCTGTTTCAGGAAATTGGTATCACTGCTGTACGGAAGGTCTGAGGTGTGAAAGGTTTTGTCCTCATTGGAGTTCCTTCTACTGTTTAATAGTAAATTTTTTGCTGACTTTTAAATGCCATCACAATAGAATGCAGCATTACAAAGAGTCATATTCGCTCTCGCCTTAAAATGCCCCCTTTGCAATATTTTGCCTTGTCGGAGTTGCAAAACTTGGCAAGACAAACTAGGACTTGATGACAAACACAGCCCCCTCTACTTGCCATGATATTTGGAAGCGTTGCATATCTGGGCTCGTTGAGTCTCAAGTCAGCTGTTACCACTGCAGGCATCTTGATTTTTATTGTTTCGAGACCACCGTCTATCTCGCGAACAATCTTCGAGAAAAAAAAATTACACATGTAACATCGTCAGATTGCAGATGGATTACAAAGCACGCCTAGACTCGAGTTGCTTCCACTGTCTTATGGACGAAAAATCCAGGACCGTTTTTGTTTTTAAATGTAAGGCTGGTCATTATGACACAACGTTTGATTCTTTTGTCCAGTTTAATTTAAGTCGGGGCCGTCCTACCACAAGACTATCTTCTGATTCATTTAATCTATCCATTCCCCGTTGTAATTCTGAGTCTCACAAAGCCTTTTATTTTCAGCGTATTGTTAACACTTGGAACCAACTTCCTTCTGCAGCCAGATCAGATTCTTCAATTTCATCTTTCTAGACCCAAATTTTGGAATATTATAAAACAAAGTTCAGCTCTAGCTTCAAATCCGATAATATATATACTTGGGTGTCCAACTGTCGCTGTGCTGGCTGTAGATATTAATAAATTTCCACTTATTGTCTTTGCGGGGGGAGGGGTCGTCATGTGGTAGGATGACTCTGCAGAGGTGCTGGTCACCTGTTCCTTCCTGCCATTCACTGGCTTTTTAGTATATTCTTTTTTATACCCCTCATCCGTTTGTTGTGTCGTGTCGTGTCGTATGTTTTATGTATATGCTTTTAATGTATTTAAATTTTTGGTTTTATAATAGCCAGTGGAAAAGTGTAAGAAAATAAAATAAAAAAGACTCTTCCCTTCTCCAGCATCAACCAGAACACACTGTCATGTTTTACAATGACCAAGGAGGGGACATTGTGTTTCCTATTGTAACTATGGAAACGCAGCATTCTGGAGGCTGAGTAGAAATGACAGCTCCGCAGGAGCAGCACAATTTTCCTCCTTCCCAGCTAGCTGGCCCTTTGCCATTACCCATTATATCGAGAGAGTAGCAACAGCTACAAATTTTGGAAACAACATGGCTGTTCATTATGTGTACAGCAAAACGTGACATACCAATGCCCCATCCGTGTGCACTGGCAAATACACCTGCCAACTTGTTTCCAAAAATGGTGACACTCATGTCGCAACTCTCTATACATGGCTCTGCCATTACCTGCCCGCAGCGCAACCGGTCATTCTGTGCAAGGATCAGCCTAATCAGCCATCTCTGCACATACATGCGGGTCATTCCATGAGGTTGGGGCACAATTTGTGATGGCGTCCTAATACATTGGTAACTGTTACCACCTGTCATGACCAGTAGAGTTGGTCATTTACCCTGTAAAAATAACACACACCTCTGTATTCAGCCTTGCAAGATGTATCACAATGTCAATGTGGAATCCACTTGCAGGGAAATAGCTGTTCATTTGTACAGAACCCATGTAACAATTGACACCGTCACAGATTGTGCCCCAACCTCATAGAATGACCCAAGTACAAGTAAGAGTGAAGTCTAGCCCATCTTCTCATGCAAAGGATGAGCATCATCCAAAATATGGCACTCTCTCAGAGAGTAAGGGGCTAGAGTCTTTACACGTTTGTTGTTTCTGTGCCTCGTGTTCAAATCAGTGCACCTTTAGATGGCCGTCTTCCAGGTTGAGCTCTGAACAGAAGGTGCCCTGTGGCCAGTCCAGGTGGGCTGCCGTCATCTGACCAGTTTGGTTACAGTCGTCGTCGATGGCCTGTCGACAGACAAGACAGCAGTCTTTGCATGAAAACACGGCTCACAGGAGAGCCAAAAAATCTGGCAGCTTGACTGTTGGCAGACTAACAGGAGGATAGTGTGAAACTACACCGATGAACTTGACAGGTGCTCGCATTTGATCAAGTCATAACATCCTACTGGTTGAAGTCGGGAAGAGGTATTTAACTGGCCGATACAGTCGTGTCTTCTAATTCTAGTAACTACATTAGCTACAATGAAACCTATACTGATCAGCCATATGTGAACACATACATATTTTTACGTACGTATGTTATAAATGTTTGCAGACTTCCACAAACACAGCATCCCCCTCCCCCCAAAACGAATGTTACCTTTAAAAGAATCTCATATGGAATTTAATGGTAGAAATAAATTCAGACCAAATCAAAGGAAGAAAAATGAATAAGATGCCTGGAAACAAAGTTTTACACACACAGGGATAAACTTGGGCCGGAAGGTGGGGTGGGGAAACCCTAGGGTTTCTTGGGAAAAGTCTCAAGGTGGGAGACAAGATCAGACGTAGGTCAAACAGGTAGAGGCAGGCAAAAACATATGCACACTTACGAGGGGGAGATGATGGTCACCGTCAGGCATGGGGTTACTTTCAAACCAATTAACATATTTATCAGAAAAAAGACGACGATGACATTGTGCATGCACGTGACAATTCATCTGATCTTGATAAATGACAGACTAGAAGCTAATGGTACCAAAGCACTCTTTTGTGTAATGTCTAAACGGGTTTAATAATGTTTGTGTGAGGCTGGTATACATGTACGGATCCTTTTCCCATATAAACAGTGCCTTCCATTATGTACATGTATGTGCTGAAAAAGTTTGCAGAAAAGACATCTTTGGCTGGCAAGAACTTTAAAACAAATTTCATGCATGCTTCATTTAACTAAAAACAAACAAAACAAGAAATAAATGAAAGATATGCCCTGCCGCTCTTCCAGTTCACCTGTTTGCCGAGGATGACAAGATCCACGCCTTCTTCCTGAGCCAACTTGGAGAAAATCTTAGAGACGTGGTACGGTTGGACCTTCTCAAAGTCAGCCTCCGGAATATCTACGTGGATGCCCCGGTCCACACCCATGGCCAGCGCCGTGCGCAGGGTCTCCTGCAGGAGCGGTTGGAAATACTTGAGCATGACCCACTTGTGCACAATATCAGTTTGGGCCAAAACGCTCAACTCAAGACAACACGCACCACAGTTACAGACTCTTGAACGGTGTTAATGTTGTACAATATTTCTTGCTTAAACGTTACATTTTCCAATCCTACAAGAATCTGACAGTGAGCAATATTTGCTTCTACAACAGGTCGCGTGCCGTGGTCAAAGGACCCGGTCTGGATAAGACTTTTGTGATCCGCATGTAAAGAATACATCAAATTTGTCATTTTCTTCCCATAATTTTTTACACTGAAGGTTCCATTCTGTGCCAACCTTACATACCTAATGTTGGCCCATCCACAAAATGCAAGTCGTGCAAACCTTGTGTGAACAAAGCCGGGTCCACTGTCCACACCAAGTTAAGCCCCTTTCTGGGAGACAGTTTTAGCATGTTCATTCAGTCAAGGGAATCCTCAACAAAAATCGCCAAGAGTCTTCACTGTGCAAGAAAAATAAGTATTTTCACCACGTTTTGGCCACTGCACCAAACCCAAAGGAGTGTCCGCACTAGGTAGGACACGCAAACAAACATAAAGCAGCTGATGCCATTAGTACCTGACACTTTGCAGGGCCACAGCTGACGGCAACAATCTCCTTGACGATCTTCTTCTCTTTGAGTCTCACCGCCTCCTCTACCGCAATCTCATCAAAGGGGTTCATGCTGTGTTTCACCCCATCGGTGACCACGCCCATCTTGTCCGGCCGCACCCGAACCTAGAGATTCATCATCAAACATGAATCGTATATGTTAAGTTTCAGAGCACATACACAATGAGACGTGATGAACACTTCTCAACGACCAAAGAACAGCATTGAAAAAAAACCTTTTGATTTGGTAAAGACTGTTTCACTAAGTTGTCAGTGTCACTTCTGAATGGAAGAGTGAATAGGACATGTACGTTCGTATAACTATTTCGTATAGATGGACTACTATTTTGTAAGTTCAAAATACAGTGTACTTAAAAGAGAACCTCTAAGGAAAACAAGTTTTCTCTTGTTTTATCTGTTCAAATAAATACATGAATAGCATCCAAATCGAATGCAGTGTCATTTGTCTTCAGAGCTCACAAGCTTAACCACTTCGTGCCGGTGGCAGTTATCAATGTTGATGATGCTGCGGTGGGATAAATATCATTTTTGTCTGTTTCAAAATCCTTTATAAATTCCTATCATCCCCCATATAACTAATTAAATCATAATAATGACAATTTTTTTACTTTTCAAGTTTTTACTGGAGTAGACCTAATTTTGTTTTGGGGGGGAATAATTTATTTAGGCCTAAATTCTTGTTTTTAATTTTCAAGTTTTTCTGGGGTTGTACTAAATATGTTTTTTCTTTTGATTTTCTTTCCATATATTGTTATTCAAGTTAATAATTAATTTTTATTTCATTTAATAATCATTCACAATACACTCTACATACATCATGTATTACATGTAGGCCTACATCATGTACATATAGGCTAGGGGCCTACAGCCAAACTTTAGTTTGCTCAGGTCAAATGCCCACACCACAGACACATCGGTGATCTGATGATGGAGTTAGTGACACTCGGGGGGTTAATTTCTGCTGTAAAAATTGCCCTCAGGATCAACCAATTTCACCCTAACTACATATCATATTACCATACACAAGTATTTTTTCAAAGAGCAAATTTCTTTACCTTGACGGCATAATCGATGACTCTTTTAACTCCTACAAGTACACGGAGCGACATTTTCGGTGTCCAACCGGCTTGAACTCGAACACGAAAGGGAACAAAGGTCAAAGTGCCACGCGACCCACCGGCCGCGAGATCAGTGACGTGACAAGTGAATAGTGGCAACGACGACTGTTTCATATGCCATATCTTCTAGGAAAAGCCACAGCGAATTTCTTAATAATCCCTGCCCGCTATTGTTTTCCTCGGAAGTCGAGTGGGCACTTCGACGATTTCTTTTGAATTCGTCCTTTTTTCATAACAAGGTAGATACATGTAGGCTGCATGGGACATGTAATGACAGTTTTCATAACACCTCCCCCCAAAAGAAAACAAGACAAGGACACAAAAAGTCAGACCTGAACAGACTTTAAAGGTAAACAGACATCCATGTTTATTTTGTAAGTCTGATAAAACATTTAAATGATAATGATGACAATTTTGTGACATAAAATGTCAAGTACAGAGTGGCATAATCCGACCAGGCTGGTTGGGAAGGGGCAGGGAAATGAAAGGGAAGGGGGCAGAAATCCCTCTCCTTCCAAAGTTCACAGATAACCCAATTAAGATCCGGGATGCCAGTCTGGTTCTTGCGCGGAGTCTGGAAATTAGGCCCGAGATGCGGGAACGCACCTCACTAAGGCCTCAAATCAGCCCAACATTTGAAATGAAATCAAGCTTTTGCCTGAAAAATGATGTCCCCCCCTCCCCCTGAAATTCTTCCTTTCGTGTTTCAAACTGTGCAAGAAATGTAAAACATGCCCCACTCTACCTTCAACACAGTTGGCAAGCAGCCTTGGAAAATGCAACAGTACTACGACCTGCAAAAATAGGTACGCACTTTAATACCAAAGTGCGACTGCATTTAACTGAACAGGGGTATGAAAAGCCTCCATTTCTTACATAACAGAAATAACACAAACTACTACACACATAGTTCTGAAAACATATTTTAGGCCATTTAAGATTTTCTCTTGGTTGTAGCTTGGAATTACACACACCTGTACGGGGAAGTGGTTGCAGCCGCAGCCTTAGACTGTGCATTATTTCAAGCTGCTGCCGTGTAATTTGTAAATGGGCTTGGATAAAGCCTTCTTTCACAATCTTATTCACACTGAGGAGCTGGGTGGAATCCAGTCCTTCCTAACAGATGAGTGGAAGTTTGAGTGGGGACTACGGCTGCGTTTGTTTCAAAAGGATCTGGATTTCGATTAGATATCCTAACACTGGTTCGCACCATGCGTTAGGCGAGTTTGGTGGTGTCCGAAACCAGCAATTGATTACTGATCGTGATCCAGATCTGTGCAAAATAAACACGGCCTACAGTGAACTATGATGATCCAGTTCTGTATTCGGACAGCGCATACCTCAAATGAAATGTGTCCAAAGTCATTTGGACGTGCGTGCAAGATCTGCCCTCTCAGCACGGCCCCGTGCGGACTGGCACATGACCTTTGTTCCCCAAATGACCCTTGCTTTCCTGAAATACAGAACTGGCTCATAGCACCACCGTCGCCCTAACGATGAACATTTCGGATCATGTAGTTGACCATTTGGAAGCAGGCCCTTGGTGACGATCACACCGCCAGACAGCCTATTTAATTTCTTCGCTCGGAGGGAACCATTCACATGAAAATAACCCCCGGATTTATTTTAACCGTTATTCACCACAGGGGTTGCAACAAATGGCAAAAATAAGCTGCACAGGGATTTTACAAAATTGTTTCAACCAAGGGACACTGGAGTGCAACTTGAATGCATGAGCGCAGCGTTAGGAGGAAATTGACTTGTGGTTGAACAAAAATCCGAGCCAGAAATTGATCCACTGTTTAGCCAGTTCCGCGGTCAAATACAAAAGAGATGCACATTCTGCCTGGTGTGCATGAATTGAAACCGATCCAGGTTTGCGTAAAGACACACGCAAGGAAACGAGACCCAAGATGCTTCTGGGTGCAACGCAAAGAGACTACTTGTAGAATTCGTGTTCTGCCTCGTCCTTCTTGATGTTGTTGCGGTACCCCTTCTCAAAGTCTTTGGCCAGAACGACGTAGCGGTTCTCTCTAACGGCCTGCATGCCGGCCTAACAAAAAGAACAGATCATAAAATGATAATACTCCATCCCAATACACAGTGTGACTGCATGGCATCTTGTAAACTCCTTTCCACAATAAACAGAACACAAACTGTGCATTGTTGTGGTAAAAATAAATTCATGAAGTGAACAGAAGGAATGTTGCACTCCGCAAGGTAAACATACCTCAATACATTCAACAGTCCGCCTTGATTATACCAAATAATTCATGACATGTGACCCGAGCCCCACCAATCAGATGATGGGGATTTTTTTAAGGTATTGTACAAGAAATGAAAGTTTCAATTTTATGCAAAGGACAAGTTCACTTGTTAAAAATGAAATTTCCATTCTATTGGTAACTTTATAAATTTGATCTTATTTGATCTTAAAATGATATGAAGAGGTTTTTCTAGTAGTACTCTGGCAGTCTCTTCCCCCTCATTTAACCCCCCCTCAACAGAACATTGTTAATCTGTTAACTAATGTCTCTTGTGCCGATGAAATAATACCTCTTGACATATTGCATTGATGTCTGCTCCTGAGATTTTGTCCGGTCTGGCGACATCTGTGATAACATACAAGTCAAGGAAGGAATGAATTGTGAAAGTGACTGGGGCAGGAACTGGGTAGCAGTGTTGACGTCTAGCCACAAGACCAGTCACAGAATCAGTCACAAGAACAGTTACAAGATCAGTCACAAGACCAGTTACAA